CCAGTTTGTCAAAACATGTACAAATGTTCTAAAGATATATATTTAGCCTATTTTTTTTGTTTCTAATATATATATCTAATATATATATATGAGTGTGTTTTGCGAGTACTTGGTCTTCCTCAATATACAGTAGATAATGTTATTTGTTATGCAGATGAATATATGAAGAGTTCAGATGCAAAAGCCTCTAAATGCCATTTGAAATTTTCATCTTTAATGATGATTTTTATCAAACTTGTATATTTAAGTTCAGTAATTTCACTTAAATAACAATTAATAGGTAATTATCATTGCCATTTAAGTGAAATTACTGAACTTAAATATACAAGTTTGATAAAAATCATTAAAGAAGAAAATTTCAAATGGCATTTAGAGGCTTTTGCATCTGAACTCTTCATATATATATATATATATATATGTATATACATACATATTAATCTGGATAATGTTAACTATATTGAGTAATGCTCTAAGGACACGGCGTTTTTTGAGTAGTAATCTATAAAAATCAAATGAAATAGAAACTCATACGAACATTCTATTGATCATCTCCGATTAATTTTACTTGTTCTATTGGCAGATTAGAATTAGTCAGTTGTCTCGCTGTAGTATATCATAGCTCACTGTGTTTTACTGATATGAAAACAGCAATAAATGCTGCATTGTTACAGAATGTCATGTGATATCATATTCCCACATCCAGAAATGTCTTTTAGTTCCAGTAATGATCATCTGATTTTTTTAATTGCAGCTGCTTTAAAAAAATAAAAAATATATATACTGCATGCAAGTTTTAATAATGTTTTTTTTTTTTTGTTTTGCATAACTATTAGTAGTGTTTAACAACAATATACATAGAATATATATAAAAAACAGTGAATTTTGGAACTCACAGATACTTTTATAGAACGCAAAGACCCTTTCATGAGGATTTTGATGTCAGTCTGCTGAAACCCATGTCCTCCCCAGAGCTTTACTCCTCTAGCTGACCTTTGTCCTGCTTTTCTGCTTATCGGCTCTTTCTTTCTCCACAGAGAATTTGGTGTTCTGTAAAATGTTATAAAGAATCTCCTCTTCTTCTTTGTCACTGTTTCATTGAACGATTACTGATTCACCTTCCTCTAATGTCACAAGATCTGATCAGGCACCAGCTGTGCTAGTTAAACAAAGTCAGTCACTGTTTCTTGTTGTGTTGGTGATTGTGGCAAAGCCATGGTTCAAAGCAATGGAGAATTTTTCACACAATATTTTGTGATCTATGATGGTTTTAAGTGAATAGTAAAATGGAGTAGTTGATTTCACAGATTTTCCAGTTCCCCTAGGCTGTTTCTCTGAAAATACTCTTATGAACTTCCTGAATTGACTCTTCACTTAGCTCCGCCCCCTTTGTTACTGTCACTCTCTCAGACCAAAAAGGTTGAATATTTGGAGAAAGCATTTCCATTCATCTCAATGACTGTGCAAGTATGCAATTTCAAATCAGCCAACATAGGCATGATATGGGTTTGAGGTATAGTCCCAACATTGGGCTAATTGACCTATGGCTAAGCCACGCCCCCTCCAGGCGCTTTGGCAGTGGTCACAGTAGACATTTCACAGGAGGCAATTGGTGATTTTTGGAGACAGAAAGATTATATATCATCCCGAAGTCACCTAAAGGGCCTATTGTATTGGAGGGTTATATTAATAATTTTATTGTTGAGAAAGTCGATGAAAATCTTCAGCTCCAGGCAAAAATGTACAGGTCACAGTGTTAATGTGATAAACCGCATATCGTTGCCATCACCGTTTGGTGCTAAATCATTCAGCACAACATTGTTAACATTTGTTATTTCAGTTATTTACAGTTAATGAAGCTAAGCTAAGCTAAGATGTAGCTAGAAGCTAACGTTAACGTTTTCTAATGTTAGGCTAACTTTACATTAGAGATTTTAAAGATAACATTCAAATACGTTGTTGACTTAACTTAGAACAGATGTAGACATCCTTGTTTAATTTATCCACGTTTGGTGTTGTGGTCAACTGCATAACTTAATCCAGAGCAGACACTTATCTCGGTTGAGATGTGGCTTGGGAAAGGGTAAAAAAATACACACCGTCGCCCAGCCTCTCGGGAACCTAGTGTTGGAGTTGCATGTACCCCATGCACACCGTTTGCCAATTTTAAACTTAAAGTGACAAGAAAAAACTAATGAAAACTGATTAACTGCTATGGACGTGGAAGCAGAGAATGTCCGAGTGTATTGGGTTAGCTGCGCACTGTGATTGGCTCATCGTGTTTGAGGGTGTGGCTTAGCCCATAAACCCATAGGGCTCATAATTTAAGCTCATATTGTGCCTAAATTTGCCCCACAATGAAATGTCTAAACCGTTTAAGCTGTAACATCAAAGGAAGCAGTCCTGGGAATGTTTTTTTTTTCTTCTAAAAATCAATTTCGATAAATAAAAATAAATAAAAAAATCAGGCACAGGTAAAATATTTACTATGACTCGATTAAACATGCACAATGGTGCTTGCAAAAGATTAGTTTGGTTAGAATACATGGATACTTTTTGTCAACGACACATGCTGTTAGTGGTCCTCACACGTGCCACCAAATCAATGGTGTGGGTTTTGGTTGTACAGAACGTCACTAAAGGTGAAGTATGTAAGATTTTATTTTGTAAAAATACATGCTATTAAGCCAGTTTTGTTGTTCATTGACTACTGTTTATCTCCTTAAAAAATGTAAATGGTTTCCTCGGCACCATCAAAATTTTGAGAGTGGTCTGCTCAGGAGTGTGTTTCCCGTACAACAATGTAGTTCGCTGCTTCACTACCATAGTACAATGCATCGTTGGAGAAATCAACTAGCTAGTCACGACTGTTTCCCGAAACCTATTGTCGCAAAGTATCGTTCAACCACGTTGGTTTATGACGTCTCGCACGTGGTGGAGTAATAACTACTTTTAATGAAACTGTTTGAGATCCAATTAACGCTAGATTTTTTATATAAATTACAGACTGTCATCTGCATCATTTGAACGATTCTGATTCCGATTCCGATTCCTTGTTTCGATTCCGGTTCCTAACGATTCTCGATTCCGATTCTTTTAAGAGGCAGGGTCAAAAAAGTTTAGCTAACCTTGCTAACCAACGGTCTTTCTGAAGGAAATAATCCTTTCTGAAGGAAATACTCCTTCTGTCACAAATACTCCTTTTGTCACAAATTTAGCATTTTGCCGAGATTTCGTTATTTTTAGAAAAGTGAAGCCACACTTTGGACCGCTGACGTAAGCTACTCATGTTCGACTCGCGCGGTTATACCAACACTTCCGGTAGACGCTTCTTCGTTGGTGTTGTTCAGCGGTTTCTTCTTCCGCTCGGCGGACTGTGAATATCGAAACTAGGAATCGAAATTTGAACTTTTGAACGATTCCGGGAAAAACGAAAAGTTAGTCCCGGTTCCAATCGATACTCGATTCTCGATACCCAACCCTAGTGAGGACTATTTCTAATTGTTCTCTGTTATTTTGCTTCATTACCAGACTCAATATTTGGCTCGTTCTTGCGTAGTAGAGCACGTTCGCACATGCGCACTCTTCAAACACGTTACTTTAAAACTTTTGACAAACTAAAAGACGTAAATTACATTGTTTTTACATTACGTACATTACGTAAATTGCTGATTTTGGTCAAGATAAGGATTTATTACGTCCAAATGTCATGCAATATAGAAACGATGCTTCTAACCGGTCGAGAGCAACTTTGCGATGCTGTGTGTGAATGTTTGCTGGAATGATAGTTTCGGGAAACACTGACTCATAGAACTATGCTGAATACGCCGGAACTTGCGACCATATTTGGCAAACTATGCTTTCAGGAAACGCACCGAGACCAGTGACAGACCATTGAAATTTCGAAACGTTTACTGAAATCAGCAGTTTGATAACAGCTCAAAATTAACAGCTCATGGTTTCACGAAGCAGTTTCGAAAGTGCCCGTCACTCACCTAGCATAGTCTGTTGTTTTACTGGAAGATCAAGTTAGGATATTTTAAACAAAAATTGAAGGTAAAAAAAAAAATTAAAAGTATGCATAGATGAATTTTTCATAATAACATGCATCTGGAATATATACATGTCTTTTTATTTCATATCAACTTTAAAGTTAGACTAGGCTAATAGTTTATTCAACCCCATACTTAACTTGTAAACAGATTCTTATTAATTACTATTACTAATTGCTCTTCAGTACAGTTGATTTAAATTAAAGTAGAAGTTTGAGTCTACCTTTCAAAAATGAGTTGGCTCAACTAACTTCAGAAGTTGAGCAAACTAAAAAATGATTTGCAGCTGGTTACCTTTTAAACGTTTCTTTTACTTAAATGGTTTTCTAAGCGATGCGGGTGACGTGACTTCTTGTTGACGTTTAAAGTATTTTCAAACAAAACGGAGGCTAGATTGACCCTCCCCCCTCCTCATCTGCACTGACCCCCCAAACCCCACCGGGCCTTCTTGTCAGTTATTGGCTGGAAGAGTTTGTTATGTTTCGTGGACGGGTCGCCGCAGTTTGTCTTTGTTGATATTTGTGGAGCCTGGGCTGTCTGCATAGACCGCGTTTTTTTACAGTGTGTTTAGGGGACAGGCATCTAGCGGATAATGAGGAGATGTTTGCTGTATGTGACAAAAAATGTTTTGGCCTAAAAACATGTGACATCGCTTAGAGCACCTTTTTACTTTTTTTTTTTTACAGTGAATGAATTGCAGATTTCTACAGATATTCAGTGAAAGAGCACAAGCTAGACTGCCAAAATGGCAGACGGCAACAGCTTCTACGCTAGGATTGGTCAGTAACCTTTTTAAGGCGGGACTTTGTGTCGGGTCAATTGTTTTGCTGTTCTTATACATGACATCAGTATCTGAAGTGTTTCTTGACCACAGATTGACTTATCTCTAGTGGCCAGAAGTTTCATTTTGAGGCTGCCCATCCATCATGAGGAGAGCGTACAGAGAGACCTTCACAGAAGGTCAGCTTGCATCTTCTCCGGCATCTGACTCACAGTCACCTCGCTGTAGGATGTACCAATCAGCACACAGGCAGTCCTTTGAGGCGTGGTCTGTTGACATCGAGGGTCCGCCTCGGTGCAATGAAGACAAGCCCCATGGCTGTCTGCCAGGCCATTGGAGAGGCGAGTGGAGTTGCTAGCATCCTTGTTGCAGCATTGAGATATTTGCTGTTGAAGATCCTTTTGTCCAGGCACAGGGCTTCCCTTACATGGGCTGGAACATATTCGTCTGCGAATCTGAGCTGTGTCCCTGCTCAGAGATTTACGAAAGTTAGGCTTAAAGACCAGGTACACCACAGGGTTGTAGATTGTGGAGGATTTGGCAAAGATAGCTGCCAAAGCAAAGGCTAAAGGTGGGACGTCATTAGCTTCTCCAAATGCAGCCCACATTGCCACAACAGCATAGGGGCTCCAGGCGATCAGAAAACCAATGCAGACCGCCACAGAGAGCTAGAAGAGAAACAGAAATGACTCATGAGAACATTTACACATGTTCTGGAGAAAACGTCAAACAGGGTCATTCTTCATTTTTGGTGACAGATGGTGTCCCTTATCTTTGTTACAGTAAAAATAAACTTTAATTGTCAATAAAATATGGAATCTCTATTTTTAACATGTAGTGTAGGTAAGGAAAATTGATACTTTAAGTAAACTTAAATTTATTTGAAGTACTTATTGTTTATAATTATTTGATTTGCATATATTTTGTCACTCTTTTTTTTGTCAGTGGTAGTTGCGTATTTTAAATATTTAGATTAAAAAAAATTCTGTAGTGACACGTGAAGGCCAAGTATGGAAACCCATAGTACGAATTTGACCTCTGCATTTAACTCATCCAAGTTTGTGCACACAAATTAGGAGTAGTGAGCAGTGAACACACACTGCAAACCGTGGACACACACACCCAGTACAGTAGGCACTGGACAGCCATTTTTGTTGCGGCAGCTGGGGAACGCTTTGCTCAAGGCCATCTCAGTCATTTCCTGCCAGTAATGAGGATTGAACCCGCAACCTTCGGGATACCAGTCTCACTCTCTAGCCGTTAGGCCACGATTGCCTAATGGTTATCATTACTAATAATATTATTAATTCTTGCAAAATACCCACTGACCTTGAAACTAGCACAATGGCAGCCTCCATTTTATTTACCTCAAAAGACTAACACCACGGATAAAAACATGATTTGTCAAGAGAATTTCATTTCATAAAAAGCATATAAATATATTATATTATTATAAAGAATGATAAACCTTTTGACTAATTTCTATCTCTCATTTGTCAATCCAAAGTCCCTTAAGGTAGGGAACAACGCCTAAAACGTAGCGCTGATGAAAGCGACTGTGGCATCCCATCACCTGCGGCTGCGTGAGAGGACATGCCTCTCCCATAACAGCAGGTGGCAGTAGTCTGTATTTGGCATTCAAAAAGCAGGGCTGCCAACTCTCACGCATTGAGCGTGAGACTCGCGCAATTGGCGCGAGAATTGATTAATTCAGGTGTGCCTGACCTCAGTAGTCATGGCAACAATAATCAGACACACCTGAATTAATCAAGTTTGGCCAATAATGGCAGACAGGAAACAAGGAGCTGGCTTAAGTTCAGGAAGTAGTGCAGCTGTGCATAAAGCCAATTGAGCCAATTCCCACGCTATCACGCCACACCCCCGATTTCTCACGCTAAAGTATCAAGCCAGTCGGCAAACTACCTCAAAGATAAGTTAATCTATAAATCCACCAGTTGAGCCACTCGTGATCGACTAGTTTTACCGCTAATTAGTTTAAATATCCTTTAATCTAGTCTAGAGCGATCGTGCATGCGAGACAGATGTTGAGCTCCTAACGGCGCGAACGCAAAACCAGGACTGGAGCCAAAGCCAATTCCTCTCTGCACTAGTTATTACATCCACTACGGGTTTTCCAGTCTCACTCACAGGAAAAACTGCTCTGTGTTCACGTGAGCAAAGTGCACATGTTTCTCTAAAACACCCAGCACAAACAGAATGCCTAATTCTTAAAGTCTTGTGCTGTTTTATGAAGGCAAAAAGCCATATCAAGGTTTCGTTTTTTAGTTCATTGGCAAAATATAACGCTAGAGACCTTCATGTTAGTTTATACATTTTACATCTCATATGTTCGGCAAAAGGCGGATTCGAACTCGGGTCCGAGCGCATCAAAAGCTCTTTCACGAACTACAAGCTCTACTATCTACACCACTGTAGCTGTTCCGTAATGGGCATGTTTTTGCTATCCACAAGTTTCCGAGGGGCGCTCCTGTAAAAAATAAAGTGGGTGAAACTTCCGGTGACGCGGCGGAAGTAGCATTCCAATGGTATTTTGTGTGTTAGTTAGCGAAGAGGCTAGCTGTTTTTCGGAGAATTATTTTACTATTTAAAGACGCAAATCTTTATGAGAGATGTCGTTACGGAGCTCATGGACAACATGTGCTGTTCGCGGTTGTATGTATAACCGGTCTAAACTAGTTCAGTGGCTTAAACGTGATTGTTTTGAACATAAGCTGAAAACGAAATCAGAGTGATCCTGCCAACGACTGTAGTTTCCATCACCTCCCAAAAGACGACGAATCTTCCTGTGTACATTTGTTTAAATTCTTAATATTCTATAAACTTTTATCAGCATGTGTTTGGCTGTTCTTTTTTTTTTTTCTCTCTCTACTGATGTTGCACCTAAACTCAGGATTAAAGCCTGAGGTGACAGAATACCAAATGTGCCAGTTAATGTATTCAAGTAGCACATTCATTTATAATTTTGAATAAACTCCAAAGCACAATGACTAAGTGTGTATTTTTTATTTTAATTGTTTGTCAGCTCGCACAACTGTCTGTCACCATGCCTTGATGAGTATTGATTATTAATAATGTTATTATAATACTCCCAATCAACTACTGCGGAGGGTAAAGGTACTGTTATTTCACCTTTTTTAATTTCGTTGAGGTTGTGTTCCCACATCGTTAGCTAGTTTGGATCGCTATAACTTGAATGACTGTCAACTGTTGAATGAACGAGTGTCAAGCATGTCAAATCGTGCTTTGTTTACTTCCAACCGGAAGTCGCGCCCACTTTTGACGCAAGGCCTCATGGGGCGTAGGAAACTTGTGGATAAAGACAGGCACTAAAGGCGGCTTTAGTGCAAATATAGGCTATGCTCCATTTATCAGAGCCCCTCCCCCCGCCCCCCGGACAAGTCTCACGCCAAGCTAAACTCAAAAGTTGGCAGCTCTGAAAAAGGGAAACTAGAAGAGCCAGATCTGTGGTTTAGAGATGCACAGATCAGCTCTAACATCACTCGAATCCGCTGTTAACAAAGCCAACTACGGCTAGGTGTGTCTCAGGCTTTTAGCACTGACTCTGAAGTTTTATCCTCTCACCTTCACAATGAGGATGTGTGCATTCGTTGTCTTGGTCTGTGGCGACACGTGTTGCTGTACTGCCTGCCTTGACCCTCGTACGGTGATGAGGATCAGGATGTAGGACATTAGGATGATGGTAAGAGGCAGCGCATAGCAGAAGAGGAAGAGGCAGATAATATAGGACATGGACAGAGGATCCTGGCCTGGTGCATACCTGAAAGTTGAATAGAGAACAGGACATAGTCATGGTTATCAGGTACACTGCAAGATATTCTGACCCCCCTGTACAGTTTATTGCCTCTGGCTATAATCACTGATCACTGAATGCTGATCGTCTGACCAGGGCCCTTAGAATCATCCCAACATTTCTCTCCATTACAGAGCCCTTGTTCACATGCCCAGTTTGTTAGTGTCACCTGACCACCTGATTTATTGAGACAAATGAATTACTGGCCCAGTATCTTAATGAATAAGGCCCAATCTGGGGTGGGTTAAAGCAGAGAGGTTGACCTCTGTTAAGATTTTTTTACTTAGATACTAAAGTCATATACTTGAAGCAAAGCTTCCACAGTGCTATGCTAAGTTGTTTAACCAAACATTATATTTATAAAAAGGAGCAGTTAGTGTGGGCCTAATGTCTGAATGGGTTCTCTTCTCAAGCAAGCAGAATGGTACACTGGGAATGTGCTAGGCCCATAATCCAGAGGTCCATGGATCATAATCTGCTATGGGCTTGTATGGCATTGCTAACTTATAAAGATGCCCAGACCCTAAATAAGGATTTAATTCCAATGTACAGGTGTAAAATGTTCCGAGAAGCTGTTGAAGTAGTTGAACGAACTCCATTCATTGGGACCCACCTTACAGGATGTTTGAGATGTTTTTCTATTTAACAAGTTGATGAGTCGAATTAGGAGTTTCAATTATTGAGTCATCTAAACCATTCTGGGGAAGGACCTGAGGACTGAGGTGAAGAAACAGTAATCTAAATGATTATGTTTGTTGGCCTTATTCAAATACCCAGTTAATTGGTGTCACTGGGCCACCTGACTAAGACTGATAATTATTGGAGACACAATATAGGCCCAGCAGCCTAATAGATAAGGAACTTAAGTTTGAATATTGGCCTAAACACAAGCTGTTTTGAAGATTGCTGGGTATGAGATCAGGTCTAAGGTGAGCAGAGTGGCACAGAAAAAGTGTGCTAGGCCCATAACCCAGAGGCTGATGGATCCTTTTTCTTATATAAAAAAAGGCCCAAACCATAAATATGGAGTGAATTCCATCCAGGCTCCAAAACCTCTTAGTGCCGGAACATATGCAATTCTGCATGAATGTTGTGAGAAGTTGATGTTCATATGGATGACGTTGTCTGCGTCCAAAAACTTGCTGCCTCATTGCCTTATCAGGCAATGACTTTGAAGGCAGCATTTACGTTTACAGCGTTTACCTCACAAAACTAATTTTGGAAAGACTTCTGAGATAGCTTGGTTAATGGTTTAATGATCCACAGCAAAATAGAGCGAGCTTTGATGAGCAAATATTTAACTCAGTGTTGTAGTCGAGACCACCTCACTCAAGTCCGAGTCGACACCGAGACCAGAGAGAGTCGAGTCCGAGTCAAGACCGAGTCCATAGAGAGTCGAGTCCGAGTCGAGTCTGAGACCAGAGACGGTCGAGTCCGAGTCGAGACCGAGACCAGTGAGGGTTGATTACCTAATTTACTTTTGTTTACTTAGAGAAATCCTTTTTTTTTTTACTGAATTTACTTAGAGTTTAATAAATATGATCAGTTTAGGTTAAAAAGGCCACATAGTAGGTGGTGTTAAAAGTAATTTTATTACAATTTGTCATGCGCAGTTGCGCACTAGAAAATCACCAATCACTGGGCGTGTCAATCAATTTAAAGAAATATTTTATTAACATACATTAATAATCATGAAAAGTATTTTGAATTGAACTCGAGTGGACTCGGGAATAATTCCGAGTCCTAAAAAAAAAAATGTTCGAGTACGAGTCAATTCCGAGTCCAAATGGACACGAGTCCATGACAAGACCAAGACCATTAAAATATGGTCTCGAGACCGAGTCCGAGTCTCGAGTACTACAACACTGATTTAACTACTACAACAGTTATTTTCTCGCAGAATTGACATCAGAAATGGAAAACGTTGGTCAAAAACTTAAATTTACACACAAACTGACCACCAACTGCAACTTTCAGATGGCATCTTTATTTTTATTTATCTCAATTGTCACAGAATGGAAAGCACAGGATTGTGGGATATCAAAGGCAACAAAGTAAACATCTATGCAGCCTTCAAAAATCAATCAGAAGTATCTCAGGAGACAGGAAGTGAAGCTAGCATTGGACTCGTGTGTGCCTTGTTACCTTCTACCATGTAATGCGTCCTCCGAACGCTGCATTTATAAGCTTTCGGACGCACGAATTTGTTCAGATTCCTAGGATGTTGGTAGGAAATAAGCATTAGTCTCAGTGGAGTAATGGATAAGGCACTTGCCTCCTAAACCAGGGTTTGGGTTCAATTCTCATCTGGGATAACCTATGAAGTGAATGTGGGCTCTGAAGACACATGGGAAAGGGAGCTGTCCTACGGCAAGCATAGAGGTGCAGCAAGAACATGCTGGAACTATAGACCACTGCAGGGATTACATACATTTGTATGCCAACCTTGGTTAGCATTACCCTGGTTCCCTTGACAAAAAAAACAAACAAAAAAACTAATGGGATTTTTCAGTTGGCTATTGGATTATTGCAAAAAATAAGCTCTGGGACCCAACAAAAGTTTAAGATCCTTATACATTTCATTAGATTATTCTTCACAAATGAACACAATTTCTATTAATTTTGAATCCTAATTACAATCATAAGAAGTAAAAAAGCTAAAGGTAGGCTATAAACTGGCTACACCACTTTTGCACAACTTAAGCGTCACCACCACGATTTCCATTACACGAGAGTAGATGTTAAAACTTCATGCTGATTTGTACTCGGCTTTCGCCAAGATAAGCACAAACTAGGACGTAGCTTTACAGTAAACTATGCTTCTCCCTCCATTTACGCTTCTTTCCATATGGTGACTCTCCTTCTGTCCGGCGTTAACGGCTGTAGGGTACTTGGTGCTCACCACCACTAATTGAGACATATCTTTTATGGAACTCTTTTAGTATAATAACATTTAATGTCCCATAGACCATTTGTAGTACCATTTAGCCACTTGTAAACAACTACCTTTTTCCAAAAAAAGCTTAAAAAATCATGATTGGGGTATTACTGATATTTTTTGTAGAATAAAACTTAATATTTTTAGCTTGTGTTAGCCACACACCTTATTTCAGGCATTTAACCAAAACCCATGAAAACAAACCCATTAACATTGGGATGATGGAACCAGAAGTGCAAAAATGCTTTAGGATTCATTCCTGTAGCACTCCATTCAAATTTTTAGATGTAAACCACACAAACCCCGGTTTCAAAGACATGGCTTCAGCCTAGTTCCAGACTAAAATGCAGGTTTGAACTGTTTTAACTTAACTGTTGTAATCTAAATATATGTCAGTTGCATTGTTTTGTCTATGCACAGCAGTAATGTTTTATTCTAAGGCATGTTTATAAAAGGCTCTAATTGAACTAAGGCCTCATCCGGGCTTAATCTGAGCACTGTTTGTGAAACCAGGCCAAAGACTCTTAGGCCCCGTCCACACTACTGCGGTTTCGTTTAAAAACGGAGAATTAAAACGAATCCGATCTCTGTCCACACCGGTGTTTTATCTGCGTATTAGAATTGATCTCCATCCACATTAAAACGACTGAAAATGCGGATCACGTGACCATTCACTAACACCGGGCATGCACGTGCCGGTGTAAACAGTGGCTGATGATTCAGGGAAGGACACATCATGACTGATGACACCCAATCATAGAGCCGAGTGTGAGCCTCTGCGTCAGCGTTCCTAAAAGCCCTCCGTTTTGTCCCGTCTTCTCCAAAACGCAAAACGGAGCGGCAGTGTTTCTAAACTTCTCCGTTTTATGTCTTCGTTTTTCCGTTTTAGTGTGGACGGGAGGTGCAAACGTAGCAAAAGGTCTTGGTTTTTAAACGAAAACACAGCAGTGTGGACAGGGCCTTAGTCCTGAAACTATGGCAATACGGAGTGTTTGTTGGCCTTGTTCATACAGTATGTCCAGTTTATTGGTTTCACTGGGCCATCTGACAGATACTGGGAATTATTGGAAGCAAGAGAGCAACAGCCCCTATGGCATAAATGGATAAGGCCTCCCAAGCCAGGGATTGTGGGTTTGAGCCCCATTTGGGTTGGGTGGAAATGTGCTGGGCCAAGAGGTTGATACAGACCTGTCTTCTGCTAATAATTCTTAACCTCGGCTACAACTCATCTTATAAAATTGCCCAGGCCAAAATAAACTCTGCAGGATAGTGGTTATCCAGGAGGTGGTTTGGATACCCCTGCTATAGCTACCTTTCTGCGGGAGTTACGAACTGTCCGTAATTGTCAAGTGCTCCTGAACATCCTAGGCCTTGTACACACTAATATGTAAATCAAGTATAAAGTTTAAATCAGTTTAAATCAGTTTATGAAGTTTGTGCCAGTTTAAAAACACATTTTTTTCTCTCCATTTTGGCTTTCAGTCCACAATGAGACAGCATTTGTATTAATGAAAATAAAACTTTTTGAAAATGCCGTTTTCGTGTTGTAGTGTGGACTGTCAAACCAGGGGCAGTGGTGTAGTGCAGGGTATACGCAGGTATACGGCGTATACCCACTTCCTTTTCAGTCGGCATTGCGTATACCCACTTCTAAATCCCCTCTGATGCGCATCATTTAGTTGCTAATCCAATTTCGTGAATAAAAATACAACCAGTTAGGGTTGTACCCGTAATATTAACTCTAATTTGTTGCTGCAATGATTCTCCCATCGCGACGATAACTGACCTTCTCATCTGATCTGCTTCAGCACTCAAACACCCGCTCGTCAATGTCAAAATGTTCGTGAGACCAATCAAAGGATGCAGTATTTTTGTTCACAGAAGCGCGAGCCGAGCGCGAATCCCAACGCGACGCTTCACTTCAGTTAACGATCATACAGTGTAAGATAAGATGCAAGTAGCTCACATTTATGGCTGTTTTTCAATAGACGTTTTAAATTCCGACAGAATTTCAGTTTGATTAAAGACAGTGGAAATTATAAGCTCAATAGCAACACAAGCACCCTATTAAAATATATTGACATTATTATTATTGTATAAATATATTTGTATAACGTTTTTTCGAATGTGTTTGACTTTTCACTGTTTGTATAACTCTGAATGTTTGCGCCACTTGCATCATTAAGCCAGTCTTTTTGAGTGAGCAATGGGCTATATGCACGCATAAGTTCCGCATTTGACGTAAGGATGCTCGTCCATTTCCGGTTGTGTAGATTAAAGCGGAGGAAAACCGGAGAAAACGGGATTATGGCAGAAGAGTCTTCAATATTTACTGTCCTCTCGTCTTTGAAACGAAACGTACATACGTTTAGATGTTATTTTATATATAGTTATGTTTATTTAATATAATTTTAAAAAGAAGCATAAACACAACGAGGGGTGTCTGTTTTATCTGTTTTTGTGACTAACGTTTCTTTAGTATAACCATGGAGTATAAAATTCAATATAAATTCTCGTTATTGCATTGGACTCTATGATCGGCGGAAGTTATCGAGCATCCTTAATTGCCCATTGAACCATTCATTAAATTAACAGATTAGTCCATAAAACATGGATTAATTTAGGAAAGAAAAGTAGCTGAAACTGGAACTGATTCTCATGTTTAAGAATCTGATCAAATAGGCTACTTCATGCTTTAAAAGCTACTGTTGTCAATTTTTTTGGCCATCAAAACACCTTAAAATGCTCATTTCGAGATCAGGAAAATCAAAATTTTCTCGGGGGGGCATGCCCCCCAACCCCCCAAACAATATAATTTATGGGACCTGGCAGGCATCTGGGTATTTATAAAACCATATGTGCGGCCCTGATATGCAAGAATACTGATTCTATGTGGTCTATTGTATCCATTAAATTATACTCTATTCTATAGTCTTGCATATTGAATACTAATGCAAGACTAGTAGTCTTACATGTCACTGTTTATAACACAGAGCGTTCATCTTTGACGCTCTGTGTCATCTTTGCTGGGACGCTTAAAAAATATTGGGGGCATAAATTAAGACTATACCCACTTCTCCAGGCACCACTACATCACTGACCAGGGGTATTTAAAAATGATGATGTAAGGTTAATCATGTGACTCATATTGTACCAATAGATATTCATGTCTATTTTGGTATTGTGCCTATTCAAATCTAAAAATAAAAAGAAATAAGAGTCCAATATACTTTAATAAACACGCCTTTGAGACCAGAATCTCAGTCTCTAAATTAGAATAGGGCTCTTTTGATTTGGGTCAGTAAACAACCACCCAGAACACACACTACTCAGAACACCTAAACGATTACAATGCCCTTTGCCCAGGCAATCACACTGAACACCATAGCCTAGCATTGTGGCACTAATGATGTATAAATTGCACACATCTGCCTTGCTTTGACTGGTTTTCTGAGAATCCTTTTGAGAATCCTAAATTCCTTTTCCATTAACATCATTCCAGCCACTTACCAATCTATGCAGCACGCTGTCCCATAGGGTTCAGGGCCATACTGACCCCAATTTGCCAAGGGACCCATAGCAAACACCATGGCATAGCACCACACCCCCACAATCATCAGACAGGCATGAGAGTAGGAGAATTTGTTTCCTGTTAAAGGAAAGCAGATACATAAAAGTATTAATTCAGCCCAAAGTATTGATCACTTTCATTTTTTAAACTAGAGATTATAAATAGAAATTGAAAACTGATTTTTAAGATTTGAAAAAAAAAAATCTTAAAAGTAAACCTTTAGAATCATACCACTTCCTGTTGCCCTAATACATTTTTTTCTCCCACATGCTCTTATGGTAGGACCCTTATTCTTGCAATGTTGTCAAAAAAGTACACTGTTTTATTTTTTATTTAAATAGCTTTTGGAAATAACACCATTGAACATCATAGTCATAAACAAGAGTGTTGCAGGGATTATGTTTTTTTTTTTTTTTTGTAGGCCAAACCACAGAAACAAGTTAGCATTTTAGCATCGTTAGCATTGTTCTGAATTCAATGTAAAAAAAATGCTTTCATTCATGTTTCCTCATATTTTTTAGTTCAAAATAACTTGTTCTCCCCTCATTCTTGCAGCGACATTTCTTCTCTTTTCTGATGACGTGTTTACTGATGCAAGCTGTCACTCACATGAGATCAGCCAATAGAAAATGACAGCTAAAGAACGATCCAATCAATTCCGATCAAAAAAAATCAAGTCCCACCCTTTATTTTTATTGTTTGAGAAGCCGTTTCACTCGGATGTATGTCATAATAAGGAATAAACGAGTATGGCAACTTCTGTTTCAAGCCGACTTTATCACAAGCTCAAGATATTTTTTTATTCTACAACATAAAATCCATCAATACTTGTATTTAAATTAAGCATTACAGTTCATTGATGGTGCTATTTGTGAAGATTATCATGATGAACAAAATGTGTAAGAAAAATAATCTTTTGTTACAGATATTATTTTCTAAACTAATCCAAAGGCCAATGGAAAAATCCTAAATTAAATAAATTTAAATAATAAATAAACAAAAATTATAGACTAATTTTTAATTAGCAATGAGAGATTCACCATAATAGCTTTAACATATTTCTAGATTATTAGGGCAATATTTATTTAACAGGTAAATAAGCGGGAAAATTAGCCTCCTCTGATAAATTTTACATCTGAAACGGAAACTCCTACAAATGCATTAGCAATAAGGTCATCTGCAAAAATAACCCTGCCCATAGTGCAAATTTTTCACTGTTTGTCAAAAGAGGGTTTGCGCTTAGTAAATTTGGCCCATGGTCTGCTAGCTTGGCCTATACTCTACACATGCCATTTTGTTGTGAACTCGTTCTTCTAAAGTGTAGGAACTCAGAAGCGAAGACCAGGAGACTCGGTTGTATCTTTTTTTAAGCAGGATTCTTTATTGCTGTTGCATCGCTGTAGTCTGCGTCGTCCAAAAGTCTTAGCCAAGTCTAACTAAACTAAAATACAGACTGTTCATATATGTTTCAAGGGGGTGGGATTAATTACATAGAGGAGGGGACTCTTGAACAAAACATGTACTAAATGAAGTATACAAATTTAGAAACCTGCCCTAGACTGAGAGTGCCTAATAATCCATTCAGCATAACTATTCAAACTGAGTTTGGGGCTCCAAGAACCATTTAAAACAAAGGGTAATTCGAATGCATAGAAACTAATCTAATCAGCCGGACTATTCAATGACAAAAGGTGAACGTCTCCAAATGCTGAGACAGGAACTCAAAGAACCATTTAAAACAAAAGGTGATTTGAATGCAGAAACTAATCTAATCAGCCGGACTGTTCAATGACAAAAGGTGATAGTCTGAGACAGGAACTCAAAGAACCATTTAAAACAAACGGTGATTGTATCAATTTAACTTGCAATAGAAATAATTTACCACAGGCATATTTTACCTCAGTTACAAAATTCACTCTAATGAACTTCCTCAGTTTATATACTATTGTATTGGAACCTAAATTAAACATAAAATATGTAAACCGCACGTTTTTGCAAATCATTAATGTACTTGCTCAGACCCAATAGACATCTATCCTGGCCAAATTTGCCCAGTGGCCACTTTCCATCATGGCCTCCTAATCATCCCCATCTATACCAATTGGCTTCATCACTGTCTCCTCTCCACCAATAAGCTGGTGTGTGGTGGGTGTTCTGGCGCACTATGGCTGCCGTCGCATCATCCAGGTGGATGCTGCACACTGGTGATGGTTGAGGAGATTCCCCTCTCTATGTAAAGCGCTTTGAGTGCCGAGAAAAGCGCTATATAAATGTAATGAATTATTATCTTTACACCCACAGCAAATTCCCCAGTGTTAAATTAACACTGAGAGTGTGAAAGTGTGAAACTCTGCTTCAGTGTTCATTTAACACTCTGCTCAGTGTTAAAGTTAATGAGATGATTAAGTGAATAATTGAGTGATGATTGAGCATTAAGACCAGTATGAATCATTATTAAGTTACCATTATGGTGATCAGTGTTTGCTTTCATTGGGCTTTTTAAATTTATTTATTTATCAGGGACAATGCACAAAATACATTCATCTTACGAAAAGTCTACCCGGAGCAGTCCCCGGGCAGATGAACACAATTTTTAAAACATTACATTACAAAACAACTATCAATATTAATAATAATGGGAAGTAGTCTACACATAATATTAGTCAATGAAGGTCAAATAAAACAATCAGATTTTCAAGATGAGAGAACATATTCAAAAGACCATCTCTACCCATATATTAAATGTGCTGATGCTGACACAGCTGGTTCTCAAGGATATATATCTTTAACTTTATCACTTTTAAGAGTAGATTTAAATGTTCTTTGACTCAAGTACATTTCTAATGTACTTCGTTACGCTGGGCGACGTTCCTCTCGTTACTTTATTTTAATGCAATACATGTTAAGAAATGCGTAGTTTATTCAATTTTTCTGGGGCATGAGTGATGTTCAATTCACAAATGAATCACTCTTTTAAGTCAGTTCTGTCGAAAGACTTGATCAAACAAGTTGGCAAAACTGTCTAAATTGGTTCGCGAATCTGTTTGAATTATTTGTTCAGTTCCATTCACGGACTGAATCGTCTGAAGCGGTTCTTGAACCAGCTAACTAGCTACTTGAGTAGTTTTTTTCATTGGATATTTTTCTTAATCTTACTTATGTAACAATAAGGATTATTACTTTTACATTTTCTTTGAGTAATATTTCTACAAGTACTTGTACGTTTACTTGAGTACAGTTTTTGGATACTCTACCCACTCTGCTTTACACGAACCCATTTGATGGGGTATAGACCCAGCAATTTATGACACCGTAGCCAGAATGTAAATTTGTAAAGAATGTAAAAATACTGCTTATGAGATCATAAGAAAAGCAAAGAGTTCTGTGCACGCTAGCTTACAAACTGCCATTGAGGTCAATGGGAATGCTTCTGCACTACTTGGTTACCCTCAACACTGCTTATAATACAAACTATACTGTATATTACTCTCTCAGGTGCCAAGTTAAAGAACCACATCTTATCTGGCAACGTGCCCTCTAAAATCTTCAACTGCATCCCAAATGTGTTTGCCTCGCGCACCTACAGAATGGGCTATATGCACGCATAAGTTCCGCATTTGACGTAAGGATGCTCGTCCATTTCCGGTTGTGTAGATTAAAGCGGAGGAAAACCGGAGAAAACGGGATTATGGCAGAGTCTTCAAAATTTACTGTCCTCCCGTCTTTGAAACGAAACGTACATACGTTTAGATGTAATTTTATATATAGTTATGTTTATATAATATAATTTTAAAAAGAAGCATAAACACAACGAGGGGTGTCTGTTTTATCTGTTTTTGTGACTAACGTTTCATTAGTATAACCATGGAGTATAAAATTCAATATAAATTCTCGGTATTGCATTGGACTCTATGATCGGCGGAAGTTATCGAGCATCCTTAATCCTTCACCGGAAATAACGCCGTGCATAGAGCCCATTCATCTATTCACCTGCTGCCCTTTTTGCCATCGTTATCTCTGTTCTCAAGCTCACCCACATGATAAACTATCCCGTTCGATTTTTCTCCACTCACCCACGCACACCTTCATATTTTCAAATCAATCAAAAGTTGAAACCAACTAAACTAATGAACTGAGCCCAACTGCTCCTGTCCATACATAGGAGTATTGACCAGAAGCCGAACAAACACTGGGCATAGATGAGAATGAGAATATCCAATGAACATATTGGAGAAAGCCATAAGGTAATGAATTTCTCTTTAGTGTGCATCACGGCGGGACAGAAGGGTTGTCCAATTTTTAATTAAGATAAGGAGGAGGGCTTGGGAGGAAGATAAATGTATTGTGGTGTGAAAGGTGTCTAGGAAGAATACCATAGTTTGGGAAGCAGACTTTGAGGCAGCAGACGGATGACAGAGCGGTGAGATTTGTCAGGCTGGATAAGCCGAAGAGGACGCCACATACAGCATAGCATAAACATGTGAGCTCTCCAAACAACCACCTGAGAGAATAAGAGAGAATTACATTCACATATGCATTTGGCAGACTGAGAGGGGCAAGTCAAAAATCAAGGTACAATGACTTTTGTGTTTTCTACATAGCCCCTATACGCCTTATTCACGGCAGCGCCATCTTTGATTTTTAATGAGAATGAAAGCGAGGCTGTGAGGGATAGACATGCATCTCTTCAATGGGCTGTACTGTTATTTAACGTGTTTTCGGATTGTTCTGCTTATGAAACACTGGAAAAATATCTTTCCAAGACATTTCAGTTGACAAAAAACTCCCGACAATGTAAGCTGTGGAAAATTGTAAGTAATCTAGGAGCTTTATTCAGCTTTTTACAGCGGATGCCATTGGAAACATGGTAAGTCTATCCCTCACAGCCTCACTTTCATACCTGTCATGGCGCGGCTCTGAATAAGGTCTATAAGTATGAGATGGGAGGAAAAATGTTTTGAAACTTTACATTCGTTCACAAAATGCTTGCATTACCCAGAGAAACTTTGTGTTTTCACTATAGCCATCTCAACATTTAAAATGTGGGACAGTATTTTCAATAGCTGAATAGTCATATTATTGGTATCTGCCTACTTGTGAGCAAAGGCTGATGGAATTGCCAAGGGAAAGAGTGTAACTGTCATTCCAAGGTCACTAATAGATAAATTTATGATGAAGAATTCTGCCGGCTTCAGAGATGATCTCTTACGATACGCAACAAGGAGCAGGATGCCATTCCCCAAGAGTGACAGAATACCTAAAAAGAAAAAAGAAATGCATTAAGTGAATAGTTGCTACCACAAGCAATTTGTTTTTCCTTGTTCTAACTCCCTGCGACCCCTATTTTACTGTTTTGTTATTGATCTGACAACTCGGCAAGAAGTAAAACTGCAATGATTTATTCTGGCACTTTACGATTTGATGCCGCAATTTGATTGTATGTCCTCTTACTCCGTTTGCCAGTGACCTCTGAAGTTCTGATCTAACATCATCTTGATAATTTATTTTTCACAATACAGTATAGCTGTAGCTCAAATTCACAGAATAGCTGTAGCTCTAATTCACTGTGAAGCTGCTTTGATACAATCTGTCTTGCATGATTCAATAATTCATGTTAATTCAGCTCACATACCTCTATTTGCTTCCTGTTTTCGGTCAAAGCCCACAGTAGTCGATTGTCGAGTTCAAGCGGGCGATCATTGGTGAATATCATCTCAAACCTACCGCTGTGTGGTGTTCTGAGAATATCAGCTCCAATGGATAGTTCATCCGAATCAGATGTTGAACACACGGAGGAGGTTTGATATGATATTCACTAATGATCGCGCACGTGAGATCGACAATCGACTACTGTGGGCTTCGACCGAAAACAGGAAGCAAATAGAGGTATGTGAGCTGGCTGAATTAACATAATTTTATTCACATGTTTCACATCTACTGCAGTCAGATTGAGCGTGGTCACTCACCACTCACATGGCTGTGCACTCGTAATGACAAATCAAGGATGTTAATAGGCTAAAAGCAGGTTTAGAACATGCCCCATTGAAGACGATAACACGGTGTAGGCAACACAGATTTTTGTCAATTTTGACCAAAAAAAAAATAGCTCAATGTTAAAATTGAGTTCAATTGAATTGAATTAGAATTGAGTAAAATTGAGTGTTAAAGGAGTTCTCCTTTAACAACCTCAGTTGAGAGATCAACAAGATCATCAAGATCTATGAGTTGGGCCCCCTCAGAAGCCAAACCCATAGTTTACAAATCTCAGGCCGGGGGTGAAATATTGAGACAAAAGGTCTCTCCTGATCAGGATCTCCAAGGGAGGGCCGCCAAGGAGATTAATTAGTTCCGCAAACCAAATTCGACTTGGCCAGCGTGGTGCTACTAGCAGTAGGCTTATTCCATCCTGGCAGACTCTCTTCAGAACTTCTGGGAGCAAAGCAACAGGGGGAAATGCGTACAGACATAGCCTCGGCCAAGTCTGCATCATAGCATCCCAGGGGGGATCGGTGAGTGAGGGATAACCAAAGTGAACAGTGCGTCATGTACTGAGACGCAAACAGAGCCACTTCTGCTTGGCTGTAAAACTCAAATTTTTCAATTCTCCAGCCTTGCGATTGATCGCTAGATCCACAAGAGCAATTGTTGCGTTCCTCTCGAATGCCGGTCTTCCGCCTCTTTTAAACAGAAGTAAGTTATTAAGCCAGCTGATCCGACTGATGTCAACGGGGGATTCCCAGGAGCTCCGCAAGCTCTTGCGAAAGTAAAACCGAAACACAATAACACAAAGACTTGTCGGCAACAAAATCCGGTAAAAATAATTATATTATTGCAGCTGTCTTACAAAGTATAACATTTATATCAAACAGCCATACAATTATTATACACTACTGTGTGTGGCCAGGCTACAACCTACTCAATAGCCTCCTTTGCTAACAGAGATTTCACCTCTTGCTCCATTACCAGAGCCTGCTCGGGATGCACTAACGTGAGAAACACCCCGTTGTAGCATGCGAACGAGAACCAAACTGAATTCTGTAACCTCTTTCTACTATCTGCAGGACCACTTGAGATATGTTTGGCAGGTTCTTCCATTCTGTCCGAAAATCTGACAAAGAGGACATGAAGCATACTGGCAGGAAACACCTTTAAACTCTAAACTCTTAAAATCTGAGGCAATGTCGAGTTGACACTGCATCAGAAGCATGCTGAAGGCCGCTGCGCCCCGAGCCACCAAAGGTGGCAGGGGTTGGCAAAATGGCCCTTGAGGGATGGAACGGGCAACATTTACTGAGGTGTACACCGCTCCACCCCAGTTGGGGCTGCCCTCACTGGTCTGACGGTGGTAGCGTCAAGAACTGTTTTGAGCCGAAGCCTTCTTAGCCTGAAGAACAGTACTCAGATCCGGCTTCTGCTTTGAAGAATTTGGCTGAGAGTGTTGGGTCTGCTTCCAATATTTTTGCAGAGGGGCACGAGACGCAACAGTCTTTTTTGTTGTGATCGGTATGAGGAGCTAGATGGCTGGGGCTGCTCACGACCAACAGCCCCAGGGAGTTGGACACGGCGAGGGAGAAGCTTCTTAGCCTCCTGGAACCTCTCGATGACTGAATTAACAGCGTTTCCGAAGAGGCCAGAAGGATTAAAAGGACCATCTAACAGGAAAGCTCTATCTTTTCTCTTTAATCTCTGCTAGATTGAGCCAGAGTTGTCTTTCAGTAGCTACAAGCCCTAACATAGACCACCCAATTGCTCTGGCAGTCTCCTAAGTAGCCATGAGTAATAAATATGTGGCCCAATGAAGTTCTCAAACCTCATCAGGCTCCACTCCCTCACTTCTTTCTCAGATCCCCCAGCAGATCCGGAGGCAGGCTCCGGCTTGACCTGCTGCCATATATGCTTTGCCCACTAGATTAGATGTAGTTTTTATGGCTTAGTGGGCAAGCCAAAGCCTTCAGGGATGATGCTGAAATGGAAGACAGATAGCTTGCAAGGGCTGTTCTGTCCGGGGAATCGCCCCATAGCCATACTCTTTCAACCCCCTTATGTCTGAATATATGTGAACTTGGGGAGCTGGAAAGGCGGGACGACTCTGACTTATTCCACAATTTAAACAACTCAATGTGCAGATCGGGAAAAATGGAAGGCCCCATGATGGAGGTGAAACATTAGATGTAAGAAAGCCCCTTTTCTCGGCTGGCCAATCAATATGTAATTTATCTACAGCACGAGTAATCACCTCCACCAGCTCCTCATACACTTGGGAAAAAGTTGGCGAATCCTCTTCCGCCCTTTTTCCACCTCCTCGGAGCTGGGGCACTGAGGCACTGGGCTCTCTTCCGACACCAGAGAGAGAGAGCTCTGGATCCCTCAGGTAAGG